GGTCCAGTGGTGAGAATCTTTGTTTTCTTGATGTTGAGTGTCAATCCGTATTGAAGACTGCAGTCCATGCCTTTCTGTAAAAAACTGCTCAGTCTTTGCAAGCAAGGTTGTGTCATTTACGTAACACATGTTCTTAATGAGTCTGTGTCCAATCCTGATACCGTATTTCTCCTTAGTCTAGCTTCTTGAATGATCTTTTCTGCATATAGATTGAAAAAGTGTGGAGATAGGATGTATCCCTGACATTTGTCTTTCCTGATTTTTGAACCATGCAGTGTTTCCTTGCTCTGTTCTGAGGACAGCTTCCTGGTCCAACTACAGGTTTTGCATGAGCACAATCACATATTCTTGGATTCCCATTCTTCTCAATGCCACAGTTGTTGTGATCCATACAGTCAAATTCCTTTGAATAGTCAACGAAATACAGATAGACATTCCTCAGCTATTCTCTGCTTTTATCTGACATCATCCAACATTATCTATGATGTCCCTAGTGCTACAGCGTCTTCTAAACCCAGCTTTCACTTCTGTTCCAGTGTGCTGTTCCAGTGGTTTTTGGATTATCTTCAGGATTTTGCTTGTGTGTAGTATTACTAATATTGTTTGATAATTTCCACACTCTGTCAGATCACCTCTTTTTGGAATGGGAATAAATATGGATGTCTTGCAGTCAGTTGACCAGGTAGTTGTCCTCCAGATTTCTTGATACAATCTGGTGAGCACATCCAGGGCAGCATCTGTTTGTTGAAGTACATCAATTGGTATGTTGTAGAGTTTGCAGATTAGCAAAGTAATGCCTTTCTCTTTGGGGTTAGGACGCATAAGCTTTCTTTGTGATGCCCTGATTTCTTTCAACTATTTGTAAAATATTTTTCAAAATTGGTTTACTCTTCTAATTTTGAGTGTTTTCTTTGAATTTGGATTATGATTCTATTAAAAAATTACTGCCCTTGTTCTACCTCTGAAGTTTCTAGATGGACATTTTTCTCCTTAGATCTGTATCTTTGCCATATACCAAAAACTCCACTGTAGTTAAGTTGATTCTGATCTATATGTTGTTGTTATTAGGTACTGTTGAGTTGAGTACGACCCTATGAACAACAGATCTGAATGAACTCTGTCCTATCCTGTGCTATCCTCAATACTTGCTGACACATTAGAACCCTTCTCCACAGTGACTATGTCATCCAGTCTTTGCTTGCTGCCAAGATCCATCTTACATTGTCATCTGCATACAGAAGGTTAATAATGAGTCTTTCTCCAATCTTGATGCCACATTCTTCTTCGTAGAGTCCAGCTTCTGGACTAATTTGCTCAGCATACAGGTTGAATAGATATGGAGAGAGAATACAGTCCTGTAACATTCCCTTTTTAATTTTAAACCATGTAATTTTCCCTTACATTGTTTGCACAGCAACTTCTTGGTCTAGGTATAGATTTTTGCATGAGCCCAGTTAAGTGTTCTGGGATTCCTAGTCTCCTCAGTGTTAGCTGTACTTTTTTTATGATCCATACAGTCAAATGCTTTTGCATAGTCAATAAAGCAAAAATGGACATTGTTCTAGGATTCTTTATTTTCAGCCAGAATCCATCTGACATCAATAATGAGAGCCCTGGTGCCATGGCCACCTCTAAATCCTACTTGAAATTCTGGCAGTTCTCTGACTATGTACTACTCCAGCCGTTTCTGAATGATCTTCAGCAGTGTTGTGCTTACATGTGATATTAATGATAGTTTGATAATTTCCATTTTCTCTTGGATCACCTTTCTTGAGAACAGGAACATATACGGACCTCTTCCAATCTCTTGGCTAGACACGTGTCCTCTAGATTTTCTGGCATAGACTGGTGAGGACATCCAAGGCTGGATCTGTTAATTGAAATAAGTCAATTGGTATCCTGTTGATTCCTGGGGCCTATATAACTTGTGTTTCTCTCTCTCTTTGTATGTATATGTGTATATATGTATAGATGCATATATGTGTGTATATATATGCACGCACACACATATATGTACACATATATGTGTTGTTGTTGTTATGTGCCATTGAGTTGCTTGCAGCTCATAGCAACCCTATGTGCAACATCCCTAAACTCTGCTTTGTCCTGTGCCAATCGCACCATCTCTGATACACCCATCCCAATTACCCCAGTCACTGAATCAGTCCACCTCATAGAGGGGCTTCCCCTCTGCGCTGTCCCTCCACCCTACCAAGCATGATGTCCCTCTCCAAGGACCGATCCCTCCTTGCAGCATGTCCAAAGTATGTTAGACGGAGCCTCAGAATCCTTGCCGCCAAGGAGCCACCCGGTTTAACCTTTTCCAGGATGAATCTGTTTGTTTTCCGAGCAGTCCATGGTATTCTCAATACTCTTCTCCAGCACCACAGCTCAAAGGCATCAATTCTCCTTGTATCCTCTTTGGTCATTGTCCAACTCTTTGATGCATAACAGGTGATTGCGAAGACCATGGCCTGTATCAGACGCACCTTAATCTCCAGAGAGACACCATTGCTCTTCAGTACTTTGGAGAGGTCCCTAACAGCAGACTTTCCCATGGCAATGTGCCTTTTAATTTCCTGGCTGCTGGTGCCAAGAGTATTGACTGTGGAGCCAAGCAAACCAAAGCTGTGTACAATCTCTATCTCTTCATCCATCCTGATGCTGCCAATTGGTCCAGTGGTGAGAATCTTTGTGTTCTTGACATTGAGCCTCAATCCATATTGTAGGCTGCAGTCCTTGACCCTCTGCAGCAAGTGCTTCAGGTCCTCTTTATTTTCAGCAAGCAGGGTTGTATCATCCGTATATCGCAGATTGTTGATAGATCTTCCACCAATCTTGATGCCACGTTTCTCCTCATAGAGCCCAACCTCCCGGATAATCTGTTCTGCATACAGGTTGAAAAGGTATGGAGACAGGACACATCCGTGGTGTACACCCTTCCCAATTTTGAACCATGCAGTGTTTCCTTGCTCTGTTATGACGACTGCCTCTTGGTCCCAGTAGAGGTTTCTCATTAACACGATCAAGTGTTCTGGGATTCCCATTCTTCTCAGATTCAGCCACAGTTTGTTATGATCCACACAGTCAAAAGCCTTTGCATAGTCAATGAAACACAAATAGACATTTCTCTGGTACTCCCTGCTTTCAGCTAAGATCCATCTAACATTAGCTACAATATCTCTAGTACCATGACCCCTTCTAAACCCAGCCTGGACTTCTGGTAGTTCTCTGTTGATGTGCTGTTCCAGTCGTTTTTGGATAATCTTCAGTAGAATCTTGCTTGCGTGTGAAATCAATGATATTGTTCTGTAGTTTCCACACTCTGTTGGGTCACCCTTCTTTGGAATGGGAACAAATATAGATCTCTTCCAGTCAGTTGGCCAAGTGTTTGTTCTCCAGATTTCTTGGCACAACTTGGTGAGCACATCCAGGGCAGCATCTGTTAGCTGAAATATGTCAATTGGTATACCATGTATTCATGGGGCTTTATTTTTTGCTATTTCCTTCAAAGCAGCTTGAACTTCTTCCTTCATCACCGTAGGCTCTTGCTCATATGTTGTTTCATTAAATTCTTCTGTGTCTGCCAATTCCTTTCGATACAGTGACTCAGTATATTCTTTCCATCTTCTTTTAGTACTTCCTGGACCATTTAATATTCTGCCTAAAGCATCCTTGATTATAACAACTCGAGGTTTGAATTTGTTCTTCAGTTCTTTGAGCTTAAGAAATGCTAAGCAAGTTTGGCCCTTTTGGTTTTCTGACTCCAACTTCTTACACATTTCAATGTAATATTTTACTTTGTCGTATAACTATAAGAGATATTTTGGTTACATAGGGATTCTAAAACTGAATTTTTACAGAAGGAGACTGCCCATATCTCCTGTGGAGTCATTGGTGTATTTGAACCTTTGAGTTTTCTCTTAGCAGTGCAACATATGCTGGAGCCACTGGTGCTCTTGAACCTTTGAACTTTTTGTTAGCAGAGTACTATGCTACCAGGGCTTCTTTTATTATATACACCTACTCTTATTTCTGTTTTTTTTCTTTAATAGAATTCTCTCTTCTCCGCCCTGGAGATTGCTCTCTTAAAGACCTTCATCCTCTTATTTCAGTCTACACTTGGCTAGAATCCTCTTATTTCAGTCTAGTATGGTTTTTCCCTACACTTGGCTAGATGGCTGAAATATTGGCATTTGCTTTCATAATTCTTTAGGTTCTATCACATATTTTATTCATTTGTTTTCTCTAGAATTCTACCATTTTGAAAAGTAGATTAATGAGCATGTATTTGTCTTATTATTTGCCTGATCATTCTTCTATAGGGGAATAATTTTAGTCTACTATTTAAATTATTTCTTAATTGAAATTAGTTTGCGGAAGTTTGATTTCAAACTTCTGAATAATCATAAATCATTTAGAGGTAAAGGGCCATCGTTTTTCTCCTAAAGTATGTAATTTTAAAACCCAGAGTGGTGTGTGTATATGTGTTTTTTAAATTGTTTTTAAATATTTCTGGGAAAAATGCCCACAAATATTTAGTAATAGAATATGTATAATTGGTGGTTGTTGTGAATGACATTCACTCAAGTACAATAGTTAAATAAATACTGATCTTTTTTTTCTTTAAGAGAAAGGGGATTTACTAATTGCCTAAGTACATAAGTATGTTTATAGCTTAGTATATATTAATGTGTTATATGCCCTTGGAAATGTTACTCGACATTGGAAGAGCTCCTGATAAAGCTTGTTTTCTTGCTCAATTTTAGTTTGTTTTTAATCAGTTTTGAAATTGACCTCTGCTTGTTAATAGAATTAATCAATTGTGTCATACTTTTTTAATTAAGACTTGTTTTCTTTAGTTTTATTAAATACTGTTTTCTTGAACAGGTTTGCTCTTGATGTCCCTGTTTTTAATTGCTAGGCCAGGATAAAGCAGACAAGTAGACAAAAATAAAGTTTGTAATTGTAATTTTTATATATGTTTTATTTTTTGACAGCCGATTTATACTACATATTCCCAGCGAGGAAAGAGACAATGCAATCAGAGTGTGTTTTCAGATTGAACTTGCCCATTGGTTTTACTTGGATTTCTACATGCAGAACACACCAGGATTACCTCAGTGTGGGATAAGAGACTTTGCTAAAGCTGATATCCTTTTTATTAGTTTAATGATTCTTTTTCTTTCTGTTAGTGAATTATTTTAGTGCACATTTCCTTTGTTCATCTTTGAGATTTATGTTCTGTAGTTAAAACTCTTGATTTCTAAAAATTGTTGAATGTAAATAGCAACTAATTAGTAATTTTTAATATTTTTAAATAAACCTCTTAGAAAGCATACTGATGATTAGAGTTAACATTAGTTTTTCTTTTTGAGATGATAGTGAACCTATTTCTGGTACTGAATAGTCCTTTACTTTTCATTACCAAGATTTTTTTAAAAAAATTTTATTTTAATGAACATTTATAGAAATTTTGGATTTCCATTCATTGTTCCACCTTTC